TAGAATGGCAGAGAGATTGTTGGCATCTGGTGAAAACGAATGTTCGGATAAAGTGAAGCCTAAGAGATCGATCGACTTTGTGAAAAATGAACATTTTTCGGTTTTAACACGTAAGAGATGGTGGGAAAGACGTTCAAAAACTATCTTTAAGAGTCGCAGATGTTCTTCTTCTGTGTCGGAATAGATGTACAGATTATCCACATAAATCACTACTCCATGATATAAGAGGTCTGCAAAAACTCTATTTATTGCGCGCGAAAAGGAGGAGGTCCCATTGCGAATGCCCATCGGTTGCCTGGTGAACTGAAAAAGACCCTGGGGGGTTGTGAGAGCAGTACAAGGTCTAGATTTCATTGATAGTTCCTGTTGATAGAAACCTTGGAGAAAATCAAGCTGGCTATAAAATTTGTGTCCACGTAATTCGTTGATAATAGAATCTACTCGAGGGAGGGGGTATCTGTCTGGGATGACTTTTTTATTTAACTTTCGGTAATCTACTACTAAACGTTTATCTTGGGGGGTTAATTCTGTAACTGGTTTATTAAGGTGGGGTTTTTTAACAAGAAAAGCGGGGGAAGCGTAGGGGGAGGTACTGTTTTCTAGGACTTTAACTGACTTAAATTCTGAAATTACTTCGTTTAGGTGGGATCGTTCTAGAGACGACATTTGAAAGGGGGGGCTATGAACGGGTTCATCGTCAGTCAGATTTATGACTGCGGGTAAGATACGCGCCTTTTGTAGATCTATTATCGAGGACGCAAAAACATTCACATGATTGGACAAAATTTTCTCCAAGCTACTGCGGAAAGAAGGGTTCAGATCTTTGGATACTCGCACTGGGGTTCCAGCCTTATCGCGCACGTTAGTATCTACAAGGGGTGTAGATGGGTTACTGAAATCGGCATCAGACGTAATCGAATGAATGAGAGCTTGTTTGTGATCCTGAGAAAAGATCTCCTTGCTGTAAAAGCTTCGCAAGTGCGAGGCTGCCTTTACGCTTGGAGGATTGAGGATTTTTCGCGCCACAGTCAATGGGTTCCCTGTGGTTCTGGGCACTGATGGATTACCATTGAGAGTGGCACGAAAAAGATGACCTTTTAGACCTGCCATTCGTGGGGCTGATGTCTTACGGGTCTGGGTTGTTGTACCTTGCAGACTAGCTGCATAAGATACTCCTTTTTGGGGCAAACTCGTTGCATTCCCAAAAATGTGATCTATGGAAAGATCTGGAGGGGGGGTGAAAGGGTGCGAGTACTGCGCATTAACCTTTCGGATTGATTGATCATCTAAGTGATCGTCTGTCTGAGAAGACTGATAAGTGTGCTGATGGAACAGCGATGGGTTTTGCAAAACCCGAGAGGGGTGGTATTCTAGATTCCTTTTAAAGGAGATAGTGCCTAGGATACTTGATTTTAGAATTACCACCGGTGAATAAGAGAGGTTTTTTATCAGGATCACAGAACAAACGGAATGAGAGCTAGCCGAAGAGAATTCCTGAAGTGGAATGTGGATTGGCTTAGCATGAAGGAGATTTACATTCGGCTCTAGATATGTTGTAGAGCGAATGTTGGGTAGATCATGACATACAGGTACACTGGTGAATGACATTGGGGTTAGAGTAATCGTCTCTTTAACAAATGCTGAAAAAGTACTGTTTTTATTAACATAGTTGATAGACAAAGATTGATTTTTGGGTAATAAATCAATTTTCAACGAGGTTCCTGTTTTCGGAGTGATGGATAAAGACTTGGATTGGAAATCGATATGGGCTTTGTGTTCTGTTAAGAATGGAGTTCCTAGAATTATGGGCGTAGGCAAATTTTTAACAATATAAGTGAAAAGTTTGAACAATTGTTTCTTGATAGTAATGAACAAATGGCCTTTGCCTATAATTTCCAAGGGTTGATCGCTAGCTGATTTTAAGTTGAGCAAGGGACCTTTACAAGGTACAACTAAATCTTTCAATGAACTAGAACAGACGTTCACCGAAGCGCCCGTATCTAAAAGGGCAGTAAAATTTTTATCCGAAACAGAAACAGAAATCGTAGAGCTAGATTCCGAAAGAAAATTAGAAAGAACGCCGCTTTTCGGCAATTTTTTTTGCGTTAATGCCGGTTTTTTGAGAGGGGGAAAATCTTGATTTGAGAACACAGGTTGAGAAGGTGACGTACGGCTAGAAGGAAATTTTGACGACTTTTTCAGTTTTTGTTTTTGAGACTTTACTGAAAATTTTGAGGCTTACTATTTTTCTTATTTCTCTTGGAGACCTCACAGTTTGGTTTGGGGCAAAAATCTATCGTATGATCTGTATCTTTACAGTATCGGCAATAACGAACAGTGCATGAATCAGGGGGGTGAAGATCCGCGCATATATTGCAACGGGGAGAGGTGCCTTGATCGTTATTCGACACGATAGAAGTTTGAGAGTTTTGTTGGGGAGGTCGAAATTTTCGTCGGGACTTTTTCAAGTTTTCAATCTGCTTTGATTGATTTTGCACGATTTGGATCAATTCTGTTAATCTGTCGCTGTCCTGAGGGGTTATCGTCGGGATGGTAGGGGTCTGAAGTTCGAGGTTTCGTTTCGCGAATTTGCGAATTGATTCTTCCAACTCCTCAAGGGTATCGTGAGGGTATAGAGTAACTATGGATTTAACGTGGGGGGGTAAACCTTTTAAAATATGAAAAACAGTATAATCAGGAGTTAGATTTAAATTTTTGCATAATAACTTAACTTTAAATAGGTAATCTATGATTGAGGAATTGTTCATATGTAAAGAGTCTAATTGCGATTGATAATGGGCTATTGGGTTTTTTAACGAGAATTCTTCTAAAAATTTGATCTTGAAATGCTGAAACGATAAATTTGGGTCTGATTTCTTGAGGAATTGGAGGAATGATAAAGCTTCGTCTTTTAACTGGGTTTCTATGAATAATGGAACTAAATCTGGGTCATACTGATTGACTAAGATTGCAGATTCTAAAGCTATGAAATAATCTTGAACATTTTCACTACCAGTAAAAGTGGGGAGGGGAATTTTGGGGGACTTAAAATTACGATTGGCAACTGGTGGTTGATTATTGGGTAAAATAGAGGAGATGGGACCAGAGCTCGAAGTTGTAGGGTTGGGGTTTGAGTGGGGGATGGAATACGCCGGTATATTAATCTCGACGTATGCGGTGTCAGACGTAACGACTGTTTGGATTGGAGAATTCATCGTGGAAATGAGTTCTGATCGTTCAGTTATATCTGACAAAGCGTCGTCTTCTGGTTGAAAATTTGATAAATAAGGGGTTGAACTAACTGTTTGAGAACTGGTCGAAAAATTTAAACGACGATTAGGGGGTTGGGACATTTGAGCGAAAAACAGAATTGAAACAGATGTGACATACAAAATAAGAAATCACTGCATAAAATGAGAAATAAAAAAATGCATATATACGAAAGAAAAAGAGAATTGACAAACCTTGAGCGGAGAACTTACAAGAACGCTTGGAAACTGAAACTAAAATTATCGCAAGAGAGATACAAGGAAAATTTAAAAATTTTCATCAATGAAAGAATTAAAAATTGCAAAATTGAAAGAAAAGGATGAAATTACTGGTAAAAATTTTAAAAGAAAGATTTACAGAGAAAAATGCTGAAAGTTACTGATTGATGAATTGAAAATTTCGTATGTATGACAAGAAAAAATTTAAATTTTACGCATTTAAAAGCAGAAAAGAAAATTAGGAACAAACTGTTTTTTTGGCATGAAAAGTGAAAATCGAAAAAAAATTGATAGAGAAAATGCCACTAGAGAGACAACAGTTGTTTTGTAAAAAAAATTAAAATTTGAAAGTCTTGACAAAAAAAATTAAAGAGAAATAACCTGAAAGAAAGAGTGATTAGACATGACATAGAATAAAAGAGAAAAATTTTGGGTGGTGGGTGAGGGAAAAGAGATGTGAAATGCACTGACCAACCTTAAGCACTAATATCACAAATCACTTAGCACAATAATTAATCCTTGTGGGCACTTGTGGGAAGTCACTGATGTAGCGGTGGTGAAAAGTCCTGGAGTGAGCGTTGCGGGTGGAGTCCAAAAGATAGCCAAAGAGAGAAACGGCACTGATGTTGAGGGATCTCCAATACCAGATTATGGGACGTCTTTTTTTTCACTTCGCAATGCACGAGGACAAAGGGTAACCCCGTAAGAACTGCTCGTCAGAATTTTGAGTGAAATTCTGGGACTTCTCGTCTTTCCGAACCGGAAAGGAACTTCTTGGAAAAGTGATAAGCAATAGTGGCTTATGATCGGAAATGCACTAGGTCGCCCGTAAAATCTTCTGCATAATTCGAGAAGACGGGTTTCTGCACCATGTCATAAAGAAGGCATGGATTTTGACACCATGTTAGAATTTAGAGTTCGACACTAAAATAGCTGAGAGTTTGTGGGAGAGCAATGATTGTGGGAGAGCAAGAACTGAAGTCGAAGATTTAAGATGCACCAATAATTTGTATTAACGAACTTTGAATAAAACACAATTTTACAATTGATTCACACAGCGTAAAGTATGGGTCTAAATAAGAGATGTTAAGAGGTGTCCCGAAGAGGTAGATGTAGAGAGACAGACCTCGGGCACGGAGAGATAGACCTCGGTGTTAAGAGACAGACCAAGATTTTAGGGCAGCACAAGCTTTTATAGACTTGCTGACGTCGCAGGTGGTGAGACAACAAGTCTACACGCCATTGGCTGGCTATAATCAGTGGAGCTATCAGTTGCAAGTCTGGTAATTAGAATAATGGGACATTATACGAGATGACTGGGAGATTGGATTGAAAAAAATAGAGAAAATGAACAAATCCAGCCATCTGAGATGAATTGGAGAAATATTAAAGAAAATTTAGAAGTTTAAAAAAAAGGCAAGTTGCAGGGATTTGGATACCTGTGACAGAGATGCTTACCATCTTCAAATCTTTGGGATGCTCTCTTGAAATAGAATGGCGGGCCCCCTCCCCGGCAAATAATGTTGAGGGCGTCCGAGAGGCGTTTGCCACAAAGATGTGGGAGGTCAGAGCGCGCAGCTCTCGTGAAATGGGGCTGCCCCCGAGCGAAATGACCGTTGATCAGGATCAGAGTTACTGCTGACGTCACGATCAGAGCCACCGTGGATTTAGGACTGCTCATCTGTAAAAATAAATTTTAACGGAAATTAGAATCACTTTCATGGAAAACCGAATTGACGTATTTGTCACCTTTCATGAAAAGAATGTCCATAATCCGCAAACACTCAAAATTGAAGTACTCCTTCAAACAGAGCTGCCGTGCTAAGGAAAACGCCGTATGAGCCTTCAGGTGTTGCCAAATTTTCCCTGGCAAATCACTAATTTTCAGGTAAATTGTTGAATATTTGTCTACCAGTTTCTCAGATAATTTTATTTGTAATTTGATCGAAAACTTCTAAAAATTTCAAGGAAAAATTTTCATGATTTTCCTCAAAAATAAGTTTTTTATCGAAGAAAATTTGGCAATTTTCGAATGTTCATACGGCGTTCTTCCTTAGCACGGCAGAGTGGTGTCCATGTTAGCAGGGGCGAGGCAGCACTGCATCCCCTATCTTCTTTAAATAGATAGTGTAAAGGTAGTTATTTTTCGAGGGGTAATAATTGGACGTATTTTTGCCAAACAGAACTATGTGAATTATGACGTGAGCCTTGTTGCATATCGACGGTGAAACTACCAAACCACGTATCTCGGTTTGCGACGTCGCAGACTTCCTGTCATACTTTATTTCCTAAATGAAAAACTACTTAACGTCCAGTCTTGAAAATTTCTGTGATTTTTCCTCTTTGTGCGGAGAAAATTCTGTGAAAATTTCAAAGAATGATATTGATTTGGTCGACTTCAAAAAAATAAAATGCGAGCGTAGATTTTTAAACACCGCAAACGAGATACGTGGTTTGGTAGTTTCACCGTCGATATATTCTTATGGGTCTCAGGGCTCATGCCTCAATGCACATAGTTCCATTTGACAGAAATACATTCAATTTAAAAGATAGCGCAGAAAAAAGAGTTGAGTCGCAGATAGTCAAATATCGCAAAGGAATAGTGTCGATTCTGACCCCGAAAGCCCGAATCCATAAATAAAGGAAAACTTAAGAAGAAACACATAAATGGTCAAAACCACGTATCTTCCTTTGCGACGTTGCAGACGTCGCATGACTTCCTTTCATACTTTATTTTGTCTTTTGAAAACTGGTCAACTTCATTTCTCAAAAACTTCCTTGAAATCTCCTCTCTATTTGAACGTATTTATGCCAAAAGGAACTATGTCTCACTCTCACGCAAACCCTATGCACATAGTTCCTTTTAGCATAAATACGTCCATTTGCAGAATAGTCCGTGTTAATTTCGCGCAACATAGTTGACTTGTTTCTCTTCGAAAGAATAGAAGAGGTTCTAAGATTTTGAAACAATGCGATGGAGATACGTAGTTTCGCACTCTCGTCATCGACATACATGATTTTTGCTAACGCCTGTAGTAGCATTTTGATCGAGGAACTTTAGGGCGACTTCGAGGATTGCTCTTTGAAAACTTCGCGCTTAAAGATCAAAATTATTTTTTCAAAAGGGGGAGAAAACTAAAACAATGGACGACTCGTTCATGCAGGTTACAGAAAACTCTACAAATCTTGCTCCTGTGCCTACATTTTTTGCAATTTAATGGACCGCGTAGTCGTCGCACATTTGAATACCCGATGCATTTGCCGGGAAATTGGCAATGTCGCCATAAAAATCCTTAATAATTTACTTCATCGGCAGACGACGTTGAAATTGAGTCAAGGTCAAAGAGAAGAAGTATTGCGCCCTCAATTAATTAGTATCGAATGCGAGAAACACTAGACTAATTTCTTTATAACGTTTGGATGCAACTATTTGGGCTCCACGGATGTCCGTGTTACATACGCATGAGAGTGAAGGCGTTTCGGCTCCTCAGGCTTCCATTGCTTACACCATGCCGTGGCGCGGCGACGGGCCATATTGCGATAATCTAAAATGACAGGGCACTTTCAATTCTTCGTTTGAACAGTAAAAATATCCTTCCGGCACAAATAGTTGCCCCACAAATCATCCTGAGCACTGTGCTATATCACAATTTAAGCACGAGAGACACTCACTTTGTATTCATAGTAAAAATGCTAACTCCTTGTTTTAATAGCGTAATTTCATTAGAGCGGAATCATGAAATTATGAAGATAACCCCAGGGGCTTAGAGCAAATGAAATACAATCAAAATTGCCATTTAGTTTTGTTGAAAACACTACATTTTCAACGTAGAAATAGATTAAGATTGAATAATTCAACTAGCTATAATGTAAAGGATTCCTTTTAGCTATTTGCAAGTAAAAGTTTACTAAAGCTTTGGACTATGAAAATTAGAATTCACTCTTGCCTTTTGTAAGATAAACTGATTTACACTAGAATAAAGAGTTAATGAGGCAGAAAACACAAAGGCTTGGCTAAAATATACAAAAAATTAAAAAAATAAATAATCCCATAGGATGAAAAAACCCGTACAACCTATTCATGCGTAATGAATTTGTTTGTAGTATTTCAAGGCGCTCTTACATTTTGGATACTCGCAGTAGTCGCAGTTCAACCCGCTCCGCACCGTGGGTGAAGCGGTGAGTATCTGGAGAACCGAAACGCCTTCACTCTCATGCGTATGCAACACGGACATCCGTTGAGCTCGAATAGTTGTATCCAGGCGTTATAATGAAATTCGCTCGCAATTGGTGTTAGTTGCATGCGATACAAACTAAGCGTGCCTCACCTCTGTCTCTTACACAGTCATTTAATTCCAACTTCGCCCATTGCGCCGATGAAGCAAACTATTACTGCTTTTTATAGTAATATTGTCAATTTTCCGGGAAATGCTTTGATTGTTCAGACGTATTACAACGTTGCTCCTCTAAAATGTGGAATCTTCGCCATACACTGCCGTGCTGAAAAAAAACGCCGTTTGAACCTTCATGCGTTGCCAAATTTTCTTTGATAAAATACGAATTTCCGGCTAAACGTATAAATATATGTTTTTTTTTCTAATTTTTTAGATAATTTTGCTCGCACTTTCAACTAAAGTCTCTGAAAATTTCAAGGAAAAATATTCTTAGATTTCCTTAATAATAAACATTTCATCGAAGGAAATTTGGCAACTCTCGAATGTTCATACGGCGTTTTTCCTTAGCACGGCAGTACACTTCCTAAACTAAGAACGACGAATGCGGAGAGTCGCTTCATGAACACTCCAAGAAATAATGCTCAAGTGCGTATCCCAACATATTTATATTTGAGAAGTAATTAATAAAAAATTCTAATCAGAAATGTGCATCAATCTGCTGGATCAACCTGCATAATCTGGATCGCGAATATTTATAGCGCGGATAATCGAGACTCTTCTTTCATTCATTGCACAATAATCTTCAGAAAAGTTTAATGAGGAAGAGAGATCTGAGATCAACAATTTCTCCATAGATTGATGTAAATGAATCGTTGCTATGAATCGGTGGTATCAATGGAATTTTCTTTTAACGGTTGAAATCTAAAGAATTGGAAAAAATAATTGTATCCGTCCAAACACCGAGTTTCCTTCTCAACTTTTAAGGGGACACTGCAATGCCTTATCAAAAATGAATTATTTTCCTAGCATCCCGGATATCGGTTGCGGAGTTTCAAAATCTCCGCTGTTATTTTATTTTTCCAAAAGAGGATTACACCAAGGTGACGGCTTGAAATTTTTAAGGAATATTCTTCACACAAACGAGAAATATCATCGGAGTTTTAAAAAAATAATGCTGAATAGTTTTCTTTTCAGAATGAATAACTATCATAGGAAGTCTTGCAACGCCGTCAACTGAGTTACGCGTCTCTGTAATTGGGTGGTTGACTTGCCCGCCCATTAAGCGGCTAACCACCACCCCCCCCTCCTTCCATAGGAATTTCACCGCGATAATTAAAAAATTTAGAAATAGCTCATTATATCTTTGGATGATTATAACGAAAAAATGCAAAGGGGTGGGTGCAAAATCGACAAAATTTCCCCCCTCATGGATGTTGACCAAATTTCAGTATGTCATTCCTCACTATGGGATACGCCTTTTCCCAAAATTTCACGGCCTGAAACGAATTTCTCTCCGCGTAGCAGCGTTGCCAAGTTGAGAACCGTCGAGTTCCATATCTTTTGAACGAAAAGAGATATTGAGATGCGGTTTGCGCTAAAATTCTCCAAAAATTGCGTTCTTTTGATATATGTACTCAATTTGATCGTTTAGGTAATTTAAGATTGCAATGATGCCATTTTTCACACTTTCTTAAGGGTCAATTTTTTTTCAACCCTAGTACATCATCAAATGCCGGATTCTCGATTCGAAAAAAAAACTGTTCATTGTATTATTCGTACTTTTTCATTTCTTTTGATATATTATAGCTCCCAGGGAAACGATTAGTAACGGAGATATGAGCAATCTAAGTTTACGCTCCGCGCGCGCCGACCGGAATCCGGGCGCCGCTCGCCGCTCTGAGTCGTCTGCACACTCCCTCTCTTAAGCTTCACGAGGTCATTCCTATGTATTTTTTTGCGTACTTTCCATTTCTGGCCTTTGAAAAGGGCTCCGATGAATTTTTAGGGGCCTCGCGGTCCATTGTTGCCATTTTTTGCTCGTATTTAGGGTTTTTTCCCTATTTTACTCACAATTCTACTGAAAAACTTAATTTAAACGGAAAACTGTGTGCGTTGAGGGAAAGAACGTAAAGAAGAAATAAAAATTCATGTAAAAATTTTTCCTTCGTTGCCAAATTTGCGAGAAAAATCGTACTAAAGAGCCAAATATTTGAAAAATTGGATAAATCCCCACGCCATGGTTTATGAAAGTGGGGCATAGCTTTCATATTGACGTACTTACGTAACAGATCTTACCTATCTATACAACATATTAAAAAAGCATAGTTGTATTTGGATTCCCACGATCTGAAAATTGTCCGGGATGTCACCTTTTGCGGTCTTTTCTTATGTGTAAGGTAGATCTTTTGAATGTTTTTCGACCTTTAGTCATCCTCCGTAGGGGTGTATCGTATGTATTTTTGCTGTAATTTTCATTTTTGAAAAGAACGTAAAAAAGTACATCATTAACGTTCGTAAGGACTTATTCTTACGTTGCCAAATTTTCAAGAAAAATCGTCCTAAAGTGCCAAAAATTGGATTAATTATGACGAAGATGTCTCTAGGAAAGTGAATTATGACTTCGACTTAATTTTATAATTATAATTTTAAGTATGACTTAATGCCACGGGCCACTTCCCCAAGATGAGAGGCAGAGAGGCTGCATGAGAAGAGAAGCCCACAATTGAGGAGCATTCCGGAAAAAGGGCACATACGCGTATGTGCCCTCTATCGGAGGTGACAGAAATGGATTCCTTGCATCCTAATGTACCAATGCCCCGAGTTTCAGCTTAATTGATCAATTTTTGGAGCTACGAGACCACGTTTTTTGAGGCTAAGAATAAGTCAGGGGTCACAGACGTATTTCATCTATTTGCTTCTGGGTACTTTCGCCGCGACGTTTAGGAGATAGTGCGCGGGCAGGCAGGGAGGTGATGGGTACTGATAAGGATCCCTCACTACAGATGCATCGCACTGATTCTGCTAATCAATGCAATAGCATCGGGTTGCAGGGATTGTAGGGATTCTCTACGCGTTGCACCAGTCACACGTGAATTTTTTTAATTATTAATGATTTATTTTTTATGGTCTCGTGTGAGATTGAATTTTTCGATTTTTTCGCGTGTTTCGCAGTCTTTTTCATTATTAATGATCGAAGATGATCCACCCGCGCGTTCTCAATCGAAATTATTATTTATTGGTCAATCGGAATTATTTACTCTTGTTTAGAAACTCGTTGAAGTCTCGAAAATTCAGCTTCAAAAGCCAAAACCTATGACCACTGGTCCATTTCCAGGAAAAGGGCACATAACGAACAATTTTAAAAAATTCTTCCCACAACACTGGAAGAAGTGTAAGTTTTACCAATGGCCGTTATTCATTCTGGAGTGTATGAACGTTGATATGAGTGCCTCAGTTCCGATGTATGTCATCATCAGTGGCCAGAAAGTAAGAATGAAAACTTCAAATGCGTTTTTCTCACAACACGTTTTTTCGGTATGTGCCCTTTTTCCGGAAAAGCTCTTCAATTCTGCATGAAAGTCATTATTCATTTCCTAAAACCTTCTACGTTCTACGACATATGGTTACGATACACCCCTACGGAGGATGACTAAAGGTCGAAAAACATTCAAAAGATCTACCTTACACATAAGAAAAGACCGCAAAAGGTGACATCCCGGACAATTTTCAGATCGTGGGAATCCAAATACAACTATGCTTTTTTAATATGTTGTATAGATAGGTAAGATCTGTTACGTAAGTACGTCAATATGAAAGCTATGCCCCACTTTCATAAACCATGGCGTGGGGATTTATCCAATTTTTCAAATATTTGGCTCTTTAGTACGATTTTTCTCGAAAATTTGGCAACGAAGGAAAAATTTTTACATGAATTTTTATTTCTTCTTTACGTTCTTTCCCTCAACGCACACAGTTTTCCGTTTAAATTAAGTTTTTCAGTAGAATTGTGAGTAAAATAGGGAAAAAACCCTAAATACGAGCAAAAAATGGCAACAATGGACCGCGAGGCCCCTAAAAATTCATCGGAGCCCTTTTCAAAGGCCAGAAATGGAAAGTACGCAAAAAAATACATAGGAATGACCTCGTGAAGCTTAAGAAAGGGAGTGTGCAGACGACTCAGAGCGGCGAGCGGCGCCCGGATTCCGGTCGGCGCGCGCGGAGCGTAAACTTAGATTGCTCATATCTCCGTTACTAATCGTTTCCCTGGGAGCTATAATATATCAAAAGAAATGGAAAAGCACGAATAATACAATGAACAGTTTTTTTTTCGAATCGAGAATCCGGCATTTGATGATGTACTAGGGTTGAAAAAAAATTGACCCTTAAGAAAGTGTGAAAAATGGCATCATTGCAATCTTAAATTACCTAAACGATCAAATTGAGTACATATATCGAAAGAACGCAATTTTTGGAGAATTTTAGCGCAAACCGCATCTCAATATCTCTTTTCGTTCAAAAGATATGGAACTCGACGGTTTTCAACTTGGCAACGCTGCTACGCGGAGAGAAATTCGTTTCAGGCCGTGAAATTTTGGGAAAAGGCGTATCCCATAGTGAGGAATGACATACTGAAATTTGGTCAACATCCATGAGGGGGGAAATTTTGTCGATTTTGCACCCACCCCTTTAGGGAGTTAAATAGAGAATCAGATATGGCTGATAATAATTAAATGATTTGCGATGGATTCAGGTGAGAAAAGTATTTACGTAAGGAGAAGAAAAATCAAGTAAAATAACTATTCCACAATTCAGAGGGGTTCATTTTGCATAATTTGGTGAATAGGACACAAAAATTACCCAAATATCACTTTATGAGAGCTTTTCAATGTTAGAACACCATATATAGTGCAAATTTGATGTAAACATAGAAGTAGTTTGCCGGCACTGTTATCAGTTTTATAAATGTATCATTTAACACTCATGGTGTCAATTCCAATGCAAATTAGGGCATGCGAAAAGGGCACTTCTCGATTGCGGTGTTTCAAAATCTCTATTGGTAATTAATCCCTCGGAGAAGAATTTAATGGGTGATTATTCCAGAATTCTTTCCATTAAAAATTGTAGAATCATAAGGAATATTCGGTAAAAATTTTAGTGAAATGGATGCATTCACTTTCTTTACAATGAATTGAGGAGACTCTGAAACACTGCAACCGAGAAGTGCCCTTTTCGCATCTGATACCTCAATCATGGTCCGAAAATTTAACTCGATATTCTTAAGTATTAGAGAGCATATTTCATCGAAAACTGGGAATCCATACTTTTTGCCCCAAATCTCTGTTCACTGCAATACTAATTTGAGTTTCTACCTGAAGGGCCCTCTGCCTGACTTGATGACATCAAACGAAAACGTTGAGCCTACGAATGCGATATATCGAAGGGGAGTCGGATGACAAGAAACTGGGTGTCGGATCCCTTTAGGGTCGAAAGCTGTGAATAAAATGTGACTTACCTTCGGCGGCGGTGGGAATGTGAGCAATGTCTCCAATGAGAAAGGGCCGGCAAGTAAGAGTGATTCGATGTATTTATAGTTGCTCTGGAATACTGCCTCATTAGTATGCCGAAATGGACAGCCAAGGCTCGCACGTTGGTGTTTACGTGTAAAATGTCTTTCCTCATTATTTCCGGAAGATTCTGGAGAGTCTTGAAAGTTCGCCGAAAGCTTTGATTTTCCCGAAGCGCCCTGGCTGCGTGGGTGCGAGGCCCGCTTGGCGGAAGTGAGAATTTTTGCCACTCCTCAAAGGCATCGGCACCGGGCGACCGGGCGTGGCCNGGGGGGGGGGGGGGGGGGGGCTCAGCGGCCACTCACTGCGCCACCCTCCGCGGAGCGTCCACGCTGCTCCCCGTAACGTTGCTAACCCGGAAGCAGAAAACAGTAAGGGCGAAAATGAAGCCTTGGACAAATGCACGAAGTAGGGTCGGAGCAAACATTTTTAGTCCCAAAGAATCCTCTGCTCTTCGTGGAATATTCAAAAACTATCCAAATTACTCATTGAAACTCTTCGGGGGTGCTTTCACCATAACTGGAATAGTTTTGTCGCCGTAACAGACAACACATTTTTCCGTCACATTCCGAGTAGAAATGATAATCACGCGAATTTTTTCCCATTAATGTTCAAAGGGCTGCCTAAAATAACGTTTTCTAATGATGTATTGCTCTACTTCTCAATTAATACTTGTTACACGGAAAAAAGTGAGCGTAACAGACAGCACATTTTCGGCCATTTATATATTAAAATGATTGAAAAGTAGAGCGATAAATCTTCGAAAAGAGAGAAACACGTAACCCTGTGTAGATTAATGCAAAAAAAACTCGAGTGATTATCATTACTACCAAAAATATGACCGAAAAACGTGTTGTCTGTTACGGCGACAAAACTATTCCAGTTATCGTGAAACCACCCGTGGGTGATTTGAAATCAATGAATTATACGATATCTCCAACTAGAAGGGAAGAGTCTTTTTTATTTCAAGCTGAACAAGTAAGAAAATGAACTTAGTCATGTCTGAGCATACAATTTTATGCTACGAATCCACTTTTTTTCAATGAATTGTCATAAGTCGTCCAAAACACCCTTGAAGAATTGTTCAGGCCAGGCCCGCCACAAGGGGGGGGGGATACTGAGTCCCTGGTACCGGGGCCCGGGCCCCAGAAGGGGCCCGTGTTACCCGTGAAAAACCACTACGAATTCACATGCAACTCTTGTTTCGTAAGAAAAAGTGAAACATTTACCCTGAAAACTTCGCAAAAGGTGAATGGATTTTCAGAAACACGTTGGGGCACTATAGAATTCTTCTTAAATTTTCAAAGAAGTATACTTCCTGGTATCTATTTTTAAGATTTTCAGTACGGAGGGATATTTTTAGTAACTGCGTTTCATTTTCTTCCGTCGTCAGATGCTAAGCGTCTCCAGTCTGGGCATCCTCGACTTCAATGGCTCATGGCTCAACTCCCTTGCCATAGACAAATGAAGGGGGAGTCCGGGGGGGCCTGGCCCTCTTAGAACTGAAAATAGTATCATATGCCCCCCCCCCAAAAAAAAAAAATAAAAATGTTCCAGGTGTTTTGAATTCAACAATTCGCAAGTATTTTGTGCTGAAAGTAGGGAAAAAAAAACATAATTATTCCGCAGAAATTGATGGAAAAATTCTTTATGGAAGCTTCAAAATGCGTCAGATTAGTCGTTTAAATTCTAAAATTTTTTCGGGGGATGCCCCTCGGACCCCCCCCCCCCCGTGCTTTGGGCCCGGACCTTAAAACTGGTATCAGGGCCCGAGATGGGATGTGGCGAGCCTGCATGAAGGCTATTTCCATTTAAATCTTCCGTCACATTCATTAGGCGCAATGATACAACTATTTGAACTCTCCGGAATGCGTAAGGTATCATGCCGCATTTGAAGGCGTTTTCAAATCAGCCAAGTTCCGTTGTCGGAATAATCCTTCTGCAAAGTTCATATTATTTTGTTTTAATCCGTTCCACCCGTTTATTTTGAATCCTCCTAGAAAAACCACCCATTTGCTAAACACAATTCTAGCTGAAGCACACTAAAGTGCATTCATGACTGCAAAAATGTTAACGGAAATCGACAAGCCCAACTTGCCTGGAGGGTATCTCCGTTCCGTTTAAAGCTTCCGTCACATTCTTACGGCGCAATGATACAACTATTTGAACTCTCCGGAATGCGTGAGGTATCACGCCGCAATATAAGGCGATTTCAAAACAGCCAAGTTCCGATACCCGGATTATCGTTTTGCATAGTTCATATTCTTTTGTTATATTCCGTTCCACTCGTTTATTTTTAATCCTCGTAGAGAACCACCCATTTGCTAAATACAATTCTAGCTGTAGCGCAATTCAGCTATGCATTCAGCACTGCAAAAATGTCAAAGGAAATCGACAAGCCCAGCGTGCATGAAGGCAGGCCCGCCACAAGGGGGGGATGCTGGGTCCCTGGTACCGGGGCCCGGGCCCCGGAGGGGTCCCGTGTTTCCCGTGAAAAACCACTACGAATTCACATGCAACCCTTGTTTCGTAAGAAAAAGTGAAAAAATTACCCTAAAAATTTCGCAAAACGTGAATAGATTTTCAGAAACACGCTGGGGCACTATAGAATTCTTCTTAAATTTTCAAAGAAGTATACTTCCTGGTATCTATTTTCAAGATTTTCAGTACAGAGGGATATTTTTAGTAACTGCGTTTCATTTTCTTCCGTCGTCAGATTCTAAGAGTCTCCAGTCTGGGCATCCTCGACTTCAATGGCTCATGGCTCAACTCCCTTGCCATAGACAAACGAAGGCGGAGTCCAGGGGGGCCTGGCCCTCTTAGAACTGAAAATAGTATGCATATGCCCCCCCCCCAAAATAAAAAATAAAAATGTTCTAGATGTTTTGAATTCAACAATTCGCAAGTAATTCGTGCTGAAAGTAGGGAAAAAAACATAATTATTCCGCAGGAATTGATGGAAAAATTCTTTATGGAAGCTTCAAAATGCGTCCGATTAGTCGTATAAATTCTAAAAATTTTTCGGGGGATGCCCCTCGGACCCCCCCTCCCCCTCCGTGCTTGGGGCCCGGACCTTAAAACTGGTACCAGGGCCCGAGATGGGGTGTGGCGGGCCTGGTTCAGGCGATTAAAAATCGATTAATTTCATTTTCAACTATATGTTAAGAGCCTTTTCCGTTTCATGTTAAGCAAGACAGAGCACGTGAGTATTAAGTTTTGCGTGCTTGCCTGGTCACGTATTAGACACACACGGAACAAATTTTACGGTTATAAACTGGCTGAGAGGGATATCAGTTTAACTCTCACGCTCGTAGAAGGTATACAGTGGACTCTCGATAGTTCGAACCTCGATAATTCGAAAACCTCGTTAATTCGAAGGAAAGTCTGTTTCCCTTGAAAATCTCTCGATAATTCGAAGAAAATCAATGTATTTTTTCCCCTCGTTAATTCGAAATTTTAAAGCTGGCTTGGCCCTCTACAATTCGAAATTGCGACGAAAATTCTCTCTGTAATTCGAAATGTGGGAAGTAAGTATGGCCCTCCCTCTATAATTCGAAATAAGACGGTACATTCCCTCTACAATTCGAAGTCAACTGTTCATGTTCCTGGGTGTCTGAAAGAGCTTGACCTTTGAGCTAAAGACCTTTAGGCGTAAATCCGTCCATTTGCCCCTCTATAATTCGAATTCAGATGGCGCCTTCCCTCTATAATTCGAACCTCCCTAATTCGAAATTTTTCTACATGGAATCTCTTTAATTCGAACTCTCTTTATTTCGAAACCTCGCTAATTCGAAGAAAAAGCCGATTCCCTTCAATTTCGAATTATCGAGAGTCCACTGTATTGCCTAGATGCAACATAAACAATTGAAGAAGAAATAAAATTTTAGGCTAACTTCAGACGGACAATATCTATAAAATATGTTTAAATAGGTAATAGCAATGCAAAACATAATACATCAACAACATGTTTAAGTATGGTTTATTAGTTCCGTCAAAGTTTATGGAGCAAATAATTTTAAAAAAAAAAAAACTTTTAGAAAAACTGTTTTTAAAAGTAGTTCTAGTATTATTTAATCGAACTCTAATCCGATATTTTCAAAAATTTTACTTCATTTATGGTGCAAGATTAGCGTATGTTTTTGGAACGAGTAAGTATTGGCGCCTCGCTGTGGATATGTTGCCTGTTCGTTGACATTGAAGGAGGAATATACCAACAGAGTCACACATACTTTATCGGCTCATTCAAAACATGCAATAAATATGTTTACAAATAGCTCGATATTACTGTTCTCCGGTAGATTTGATCCTTATCATTACTTTTCGATACTCTTCGTTAATTCTCTCAGTTTTTTCCTCGTCTTTTTTTTCCTCTCATTTCAGCGCCCTTCTTGTAAGGCACCTGGTGCAGTAGCCCCTCATGACTCATCCTGTATCCGGCCCTGAATTTAAGCATTAAATTTCCAAAATAACTTGTTCACTTTAAGGATATTATCGATATCAGTGCGAGGGCTCTGTAATATCGACGGTGAAACTGCAAAAACGCAGGGTCGGACTGGCTCTCATGTAAGGGCGTAGACTCTTAGCCGGCTAAAGGGGTGTAAAATGATGGGAGGGGGGGTTAGGAGCCACCTCCAGGCGGTCAAGAAATTTCTAGCAAATCAGCACAACTTTACACTATTTTCAGGTTCAAAGTTTATAAGTAATCGCACAGAGCAAAAATTGCAAAATTGAACACTTTTAAGTAACCGGGAGACTTGTGAAATGGAAAAAAAAAATATAAAATCAAATCTAGGTACCAGACGCATCCATGCATCATTATTTCCAGAAGAATCGAGGCAGAGCTTGCAACCTATAATACTGATTTTAAAGACTAAAAGTCCGAAAATGATGCATCATTTTCAGGTTCATGAACCCGAGAAATACGTACGCCGAAAAGATCTGTTTAACTTCATCGAAAAATGAAATATTCAATCTAGAAAGTACAAGGTGAAATTTTGAAGCAGAGACAATGTGTTCA